GTTTCAATTTTGGTGCTCATCGTTCTTCCTTCTCATCTCATTTATTAGTGGGATTCCGTCTCCTTGGATAACGGCCAAACAACGAACAATCTCAGCCATGAGTGTAAAAAGGAGCATGTTAAACTTGATCATGCTAGTCCTCGTCTCAACTCTATCCATAAAAGGTGGAACAAAAGGAAACTGCAAAGGGGCAAGCATGCATTCCATTAAATCGACGAGTCGACGCGATTGCCAAATAATAGGCAGTGAAGAGAAGAATTCAGCTATAATAGCTAAGTAAGCTCGAAATCACATGCAGATGATCCGAGCTGTGATTCGTACAAATATCACGCGCCGAGCATCCATAAAAGCATTGTTTCGTTTATCGTCCGATCAGTGTCAGTCGAAGGGACTCTGGCGTGGCTGTGCTGATCGATTGATGACGAAGAATAATCAGAAAAAAGACGAACTGGAAGAATTTTTGCCAAGCGCATGGATGAGGAAAAACGAAGTGAAATATTCCTGTGTTTGGTTCTAAGAATTTGAGCCACGCAGTGTTAGGCTTTATAATCACAGAAGTGAGATATCCGTTATACGATGGCATGGGCATGATGTTCGATCTCAGCAATGTGCATCATCACTGTTAAACTGAAGCAGGCAAATGCCAAATCGAAAAAAAATTGTTTTGTGGGCTGCGAATAAAGCACAAAAAATCGTGTTTATGGGGAAAGTTGGAAATATGTGGCAGGCATGTGGAAGAACTGCAAGCATCTTCGGTGTTTCCTCGGCGCTGTGAAATTTGTTTTCGTGCTGCTGTTGTATACTCAAAAAATAATAGATCAGCACTTAGTAATTTTCTATTTCAGACAATGCTTTCCCGTGAACGGACGGCAGTAGCGGTGGAACCGTTGTACCACCGCAAGGTAATATAACAATACGGTTCTGATTAACGCTATTTCATAGCTAATAAGAAGATTTGCTAAACTTTTGCTTGTGACTCCTTGTGCTGTAATTTTTATGAGGCCGCAAGAAAGTAAATACA